TCTTTGCCAGGTTAGGTGTGCGGTGCAGCAATAGTAAATCTTTTTTGCTTTGTTGGGGGTCTTGCGAACTTGGTTTTATGCCTGAAGACCAGGCGATTGGCATTGTTTCATGGGACAACTTCTGGAGTTATAGGTGGTTAAGCATGATTGAGATAAAATCCGGCGCAATTTGTTTGTTTTTTGATTTATATATGCCTGGGTTCTGCTTTTAAGTTCCTTGCACATTCTTGCATATCGGTTTCTAAAAGAATTTTGGTTTGGTTGTCTTAGCAGTCTTAGTTTTTTTCTCCGTTTCTCTTTTATCTTTTCAGCAGTATCATGTCATGTATTGTACACTGGGAAAGTTTTGCATTGACGCGGGGATGGAGGTCTGGTGCGCTTCGTCTCCTTTTCCCTCTCTTTGATATTTGCAACACTTCTTGGGATTTGCCCGTTTTGTGAGTTGAAAAAAAAATCTTGCACAAACATGACCCGTAACTGGTAATTTTTTTTCTCGGTTACGTTCCACGTTTTTCCATCCCTACTGGACCCCTGTTTTCTTCACATGGCTCGCTTGCACCCAACATTTGCTACCAATTGCACGACTTGACTTTTCGGCGTGATTTGTATTTGTATTTACTAGTACAGTATGTACTTATGTACTGGAGCAACCACTTCAAAAAGAGCAGACAGGCTGGTCACTATATATCTAAAAAGAAGGCCTGTAGGAAGCACACCTTTACCTTCTGTGACGTAATAATCCCTGTTGAGCCTCATCCTCTACTAACTACTTTAGAAATAGCGAGTCATTTCCACGGTCGCTAAGGAACTTAAACAGTAATGGCTCAAATAACGCGACTTCCTGGTGCACTTCAAACTTCAGTGCGTTCGGTTTATCTCAACACGCTCATTAACCTTATCTTATGGTTATTCCATTTAATACCATGGTAAAATAATCTTAAATTGTGTCAATTGTTTTTTAAAAGCCTCACTAATTATTCTCTGCTTTTCTCAGTCCACAAGTACAGCTCAATCACAGCTCGACCCTCTTCCTCGAGATCTCCCCTTCGAGATAATTTCCAAGACCATTGGGCGCGGCGCCTATGCTTCGTGAGGATCCTCCATCACTCTTAGCTCCCAAGTAATATTTAAAGTTCAATATAGCTAACTTCGCTGTTTGGCGTTTGCTAGTGTCAAAAAAGGCAGAGTCCCATCAACGGGGGAGGTTTTTGCTGTCAAGTTCATCCATAAAAGATTTGCCATCGAGAGGGGTAGAATCTCACTTCGGCAGATAAACACCGAGGTTATGCTGCATAAACATTGTGGGGATCATCCAAATTTAATCCAATTTTATGATTTTGGGGAGGACGACGTATGGACCTGGATAGGAATGGAGTTCGCCTCAGGTGGTGACCTTTTTGACAAGATTGGTAAGCATTCAACTTTGTGTTTTAAAATTGTCATCTTAGAATTTTCCTAATGGGTTTAATGCTTCTAAGAACCGGATGTCGGAGTTTCTGAGGATATCGGCCATTTTTACTTCACCCAGCTTGTTGCGGGGGTGTCTTACATACATGGACAAGGTGTAGCACACAGAGGTACATGGGATCTGGAAGTCCAACTCCGGGGACGCTTTTATTAGCTTACATTGACACTTATAAACAATTTTTGGGGGTGAACTTCAGACATCAAGCCGGAAAACATCCTTCTGGATAGCCATGGTAATCTCAAAATTGCGGACTTCGGGCTGGCTACACTCTTCGGCTACCAAGGGAAATATAAGCTCAACTCTACTGTTTGCGGGTCCCCTCCATATGTAGCACCAGAGGTCCATTCAAAAATCTCCGACTATGCCTATTTACCCTCGTTAATATTTCATAGGTATTGAACGGACAGTACCGCGCCGATCAAGTCGATATATGGTCTTGTGCTGTAGTTCTATTTGTACTACTGGCGGGAAACACTCCATGGGATGAACCTACAAGGATGGCCTGGGAGTTCGAAGAATTTAGGCGATCAAATGGGCGCCCAACTTACGAACCATGGCCTAGTCTTCCTGCAGACGTTTTATGTTTGTTTCTTTAGAAAATCACTTTCTGCCTCGTGCCATAGATCAAATACACTAACAAGATCTCAGCTTTGTTGAGAGGTATGATGAGAATTGACCCCGTAAATCGTTTCACGTTCGAAGAGATTAGACGGCATCCATGGTTCACGAGGTAGGTGTTTAATTATCCATCCCGGTATTCGCATTCCCTTCCTTTGGTTCTAGGTTAATAAAGGATTCCACAAAGGCCGAATCCTCACCTCACTGCAGACGGGCTGTGTCATGATGGGGTTAATTTGGCGACACAACTTATTGAAGGACTTCATGTAGATTTTGATGCCGACACGACTATAACACCGGAAGCCTTTGCGGCCAGTAATATTCCCAGTAGGTTGTCTTCTACGCAGCCAGAGACGTCCAACAATGATGCCCAATTCGAGTGGGATCGTCCATGGCAATCCGCGTCCCAGCCACTCCACACGAGAGAGAATTTCGACTCTTATGATTTCTTGACAAGTCTTGCTGAGGATCCAGCAATGAGCCAATTTGCACCTCAACCTCAGCTACCGTTATCTTTGGTAGGCAGCCCCTGTAGTACCCACACTGTTATTTTTTCGTTACTAATATGTTCGCCAAAGACCCAAAATGCCCAAAGATTTGAGGACATATGCCCTTCTCAACGAATGACCAGATTTTACTCTTCTTTTTCATTCCGCCAAATACTACCTATTCTAGGGAGCGCGTTACACCGCTTGGGAGTTGCAGTTCCTCCCTTCAAAAAAAGCGACCTTTCAGATGGGAACACGGAAACCTGGATATCTATAAAGACATTTGATAGTAGAAAATGTTCATTGAGAGGCGAGATCCTAGTAGAAAGAATCGCACCAAAGGTCCTACAAGTCAGTTTCTCGAAGAGTACTGGGGATCCGTTGGAGTGGAGAAGGTTCTTTAAGGTACGTAATTACCTATAGTAATCAGTCGCTTCGGTTCTTACTTTTTTCTCGCCTTTATTAGCTTAGCTTCACTTACTGATGAATTTAGAAAGTGGCTGTGTTGTCGAAAGAAGCTGTTTTTACAGGGCGTAATTAATGAACATGGCGACAGAAAAATCCAATGGCGCAAGTGTTATATTTGAGATGTGCACGTGGGTTATCCGGTTTACCTTGAACAGTTATTTTCTTTTCGAATGACGAGGGCTCGCATGAAACAAAGATTCCCCTCCTTTCCTCTTCAATTCGGTTTTTCCGTTCGTTTGCTCTGCATAACGTAACAGGGGTCATGTTGCCATTACTCTACTCTTGCCCTTTTATTTTTCCGCCGCGCTGCCTGATGATGATGATGATGCTTCTAGAGTAGGGTACCGCATCTACCGTTTTGCGTGTGATCTCAGTCATCGGCAATTTTGTCGGAGCGAAAAGATGATATCAGATTTTATTTATCCCTTTTTGCTACCCCCTCATCTCTCATCAAAGTATCGAAAATGGAACCCAGTACTCGTGTGCTCTCCTATCTGATATCAAGAGATTTCCCATCACCAAAACCGCCAGAACATGAGAATAGCTTAACAGATTAGTTTCCTTGCTAGCGTCACTTGTCCATCCGATGTCCAGAGGGGTACACACCGGTAAGTGAAGACACTCTAGGAGAGATAGGGAATCCCCGCCTGAAGTCATTGGTCCAGTTGGCATCAAAAGGCTTGGTATACAGCACGTTAGGTGGGGGCGGAAAATACCACTACAGTCGACAAGGTTGTGTGAAATTTGAGAAAGTGTGTTTTGCTGTTGTATGTACCCGGCTCGAACCAGACCGGGGGTACCCATGCTAGATACATGTAATACCCCGCGCAGTTACCACCCATAAAAGAATAGAAGCCTTGGGAAATGGACTGGCAGTACAGCTACCTAGTAACGCAATGTTTCAAAATGTGAAGCAGAATCTCAGAGCAGGGGAGTGGGGAACTGATGGGTGACGTCTTTCAGGTTCGTTTCTAAATCGTTCTAATAGTTCTAGATGAATTCCCATATCGGACATGAGAGATGACCGATGATGGTGCCTTTTTTCAAGTGCTCGGATCCACCCGCCTCAGCCCTGAAGACCTACATAACATGTAGAGTAGGTACTTGTACATAGGGTAGAATGCATTGATAGGCACTCTATGGAAGTGCTATGATATCAACTGAAATGGGAGGGTGGATGGAAGGCGCCTCCCTTCCCGTAGGAGGTACATACTAGAGTACTCGTATTTTCCTGACGTTTGTGGACGCGACTGATATTGCATGCCATACAAAAATACGCCAAGCTCATGATTTTGGGTGTATGCAATAATGGCCCAGTTCAAAAACGTCAGGAAGATACTAGTACAGTAGGAGGTACATGTAGGTACATGTAGGTACCTACCGTATGTACAGCCGCATTCGAAAAGTTTTGGCACCTCCGGCCTAAACTCACGAGGCAGTCCTTTCTACCTTTGCAATTCTAATATTCGAGACCGTTATCAGAGAGAGCTGCAATGTCTCTATTGCGGTCATACCTGTCAATAAGTTGAGTATACGCGAGTGCCATGGTTGTTGGTGGGCTACAATTCATGAACGACTCAAGATAGTAGGGTGCCAGTACTTTTCGAATGCGGCTGTACATCCTTTACGGTCGGATATCTCTTGGCATGCGCTGCTTTTACAATGAGGAGTTAATGTCTCTCCATGAAACGCAGCCCGACGGCTAGCCAGTAACTTTGGGGTAGCTGTTGTGCTTGTTATCTAAACCCAGTTATTCGCAGTAGAAGAATTTTTTGGGAATAGTCAAATGTTCTTTTTTCAGTAGATTATTATGAATGTGCGGGGCCATGATCCATGGCCAGCAAGCATGGCCATTCTCGAAGGGTTGTGCATGCCCGTGATGTCCATGTGTCCTGATGTGCATCCCTTCTTCCCCTTCCTTCTTCCAGGAACCCAACACGCCAACAACAAATAATAATATGCTCGCTCACGGGGTAAAGGCGACCCTATCTGATGGCAGTTAGGAATTTGAGTAGAGTTCAGAGGCGCCAAGGCTAAATTACTACAAACATCGTGCACCGCCGTCAGACAAGATCCACCGTCACCAGGTGAGCGAGATTATTATCCAACATTTTTGCGGAGTGCCGTGCCTGACAGATTAGACTAAGTGGTTTCCCTTACATAATGTACTGTCAGTCTACCTACAGCTTCATCCCACTGTTCCAGATCCCGCATCCCCGCCTAATCTCAGGTACCTACAGCGATAGCAACAGCACAGCACAAAATAGCACCATTCACATCCACATATCTATCCACATATCCACATCCGCATCCAACCACGATTTGCCCTATGGTATGCTATGTACGCTGAGCTATGTATGTATGTACATGTAGGTACTGTATGCCGGTAATCGGTCTAGAAAACAAATCGATCCCGGAGAGTTTGTAGATCTAGGTAGGTATATGTGATATAATATGGCTAGGCATGGTCCGTAAGTGCTCTCTAGCGGGGCACTCTCCCTTCCCTACTCACCTATCTCTAGGGATTCGGATGAATTACCGGGCTACAACATTGCTCTATACTCTACCTACCTACCCACTTCCTACCCACCCGCCCCCGAGTTATTTACCATGACGTGTGTAGCTGCCCGTTTCAAAAGATGCAGACGTGCAACGGCCAGATTGGCTTTTTAGTAGGGTGGTATTCAAAGATGGCCAATTAATTGCAAGGGAGACAGCCGGAGGTGGGCGGGTAAGGTATTTTCCCGGGTCCATATGTTGCCTATCTAAATGTACCAAAGGACATATTGACCTTTTGGACTGTATTGGAGGTAAACGGTAGGGAATGAATAGGCGGCGGGCGACGGATGGGTAGCTTCCCCACTTTTTGACGTTTCAATCCGGACTCTGAGGCACATTGTAGGTACATTTGTCAACTTGCGCGCCGGTGAACATCTACATACTGTAGGTAGGCCTATCTAATCTTGCTTGACACACATTGCCCGTGTGCTTGTCATGCATAGAGTAGATTGCCGAGCTCAGACAGACGGAGCGAAACGAAACCTCGGATCCCCGAGACAATCGTTTTTGTGTTTTGTCGGGATTGGTGAAATCGAATCTGATCTGATGGAGGATATGGGAAATGTTCCTGTGGTATGGGAACCCAACCACCACCCATCAGCCAACCCAGGATAACTCAACACACCCTTGATAAGTTTTTTATTTTTATTCGATTTCAGAACCGAGAACCAATTTGTTGGGGCTATGTAGGTACTCCACGCACCTATTCGAAGCTCTCTCTCTCAAAAAAAAAAATCCTCCTCCCCCGCAGCTTTGATTTATTTGCCCCAGATTGTTTTTAAAATTCCTGCAGGGTTTAGAAAAACTTTTTGCTGCAGTGGGCTGTGTTTGAAACATCTGGGGGTGATCAAAACGGTAGGAACCCTATCTAAACGAACGTGTTGGCAGTTGGCCATTATCTCTGCAGCTCGGGCGAACGAAAAAGATTTGTTGCTGTTACGTAGAGGGAACGATCGTCACATACGGCGGGGATAGGACATAGGATATGCTCCAGCCTCCTCTGCCCCGCAGAACGAGACGGAGTTTATGCATCCATATGGAGAGAGAGGCCTTTCCGCGGATGGTCGCCTCAAACCTTTCGAGTACTTTATGTACGTACGTGTGGGAAAGGCCCGTATTGGCATGGACACGCCTTGGAAAGGCCGGTACATAGACAGATTGGCCACTGCACATAGGAAAAGATTATCTAGGTATACTATCTAGGAACACATCAGACAGACAGGCTGGACACGACGAACATACGGACGGACGGGTACCGGGAGTCGTGAGGCGGGAGAACTCTCCGGGCTTTTATAATGCCCCAGGAAGCAGGGCTTCAGCCTTCCTGTCTGAACCCTTCTGGGGGTTTTCAGAAAGTTATACTGGCTCATGTAAAGTACATCCTTGGGGATTTTTCTGTGAAGGATTGGAGGATCTATAGAAGGAAGGTCTATCAATTTTAATTAAACAAAGATGAGCATCAGCACCATGACATACCAGGGGTGTAGATAATCCCTTTAGTTACCGGTATATATCCTTCTGTGCATGAATGATTCCCCCCTTCTTGATGCTTCTTACAAGCTATAGTGGGGAGAATAGGCAAACATTTCAAACCAAACTATAAAAGCCTGATTCATCCCTCATTCCCGCTTTTTGCGAACTGAAAAAAAATGTTTCATCCTGTTGACGTCGTCGTTGTTGTAATGACGGTTGAAACCAAACCCTGACGGTAGGGTTCGTTGATGACTAACAAACGCTCCTATTATGCGCGGGTGAATTCAAGAATAAAATGTAAAAATCCTCATTTTATCCGGAATAAAACCTTTTAACTCAGGCTCACCGGCATGAAAAACAATGTAACATGAAGTAAGAGGGTAATGATTGCCGTACAAGTCAACAAAAAAAGTCCAGTCGTCATGACATGACGGACATGTGATTCGACACCTGATATTCACCAGGTATCACTCGAACATATTTTCCACCCATTCCCCCCCCCCCTTCTTTCTTGGGGCAGTGTGGAAATTTTCATTGGGCGAACGGGGGAGGAAGGATGGACGAAACAAACGAAACAGACGAAACAGCCGACAAGGAAGGTTAGGTGGTTTGTCTGTTTTTTCCTTCCTTTCGGTCCTCCGACCGAGAAGTGAGCTGGCGCTCTTCCCTCCCCCTACCCAGGCCTCTCTCTACCCACCTCCAGCCTCATTTTCCTCTTCTTCCGCCCGCGCCGAGGCTGTTTGAATGTACCATACATCCGGAAGTGTTTCAGCCGTAAGTCAGACTTCAGTCACCTCAGACACTCCCGGAAGCCCAACCGGATGAGAAAGTGGAGGGTTAGGTGTCGCGCAAACAACCACAGACGCTCAGACCACCATGCGGCACTTCCCACAACACTAGAAAGAAAAAGTCAGCGGCTTTCAACCTTACCGTGAGCAAAACACAACCGCGCCGGGCGCCGTTACCGTAACAGCACCAGCACCCCCTAGCTTGTAGCCGGTTCCCTTCTCTGCTCTAGGCTCTACCTGGCGAGGACCAAGGGAGAGGGCTTAATATTCTGCCGACCAGTCGCGGGCTAGGCTCAATGTGGTATTATCGCTCTATAATATCAATGAACCGGTGCTAGTGTAACAGCTAAGCAAAAATAGGTGTTTTATACTTTTACTTTTACCCACCATTGAGGTTACTGTAGAGTAGCTGTTGTAGAGTACGAGTAAGAGTAAGAGTGGGAATATAGTTGTGGAGTAGTAGCTGCGGCCTTGCTTGGCTGACTGAGCTGGATTCAGACGTCGCTTGCACTCCATATGCAGCGGTGGTTACCACCTCACAAGAAGAAATGTTGCTATGCTCGCGTCATGTTGTCTGCCTGTCTGCCAGTCTGCCAGTCTGTCAGTCCGTTCAGCGCAAAGATGATTGATGCTGATGAATCACTAGCTTAGCTAGAGTAGTACATATCTACATACATATACTTTTTTTTTTTTTTTTTTTCTTCCTTTCCATATGATATATACACCTGGGTCATATTGGGGTATATTACGCATCATAATCATCTCTAGTTGGATTTCAAACTTCCGCCAGCAAGGTACATACATACATACATCCACCCTACATACATTTTTGTGTTGCAATTGCCTGTGCTGGATAGGAGTACCGACCGGTACTCTTTGAGGTTATGTAGCAAATTGAAATTGAAAAAGCCTGTGTAGAAAGCAGCGCGTATGATACTTTAATTTACGGTCAAGCCTCCCGGTAGCGCCCAGGTCACGAATGACCTGAGCTGCGTGTGGTAATGATTGATATGCATGTTTTATAGGCATACAAAAAAATGTGATGCTGGTGGGGAAAAAAAAAGTAAGGGAGAGAACGGTCATGCGGTCACCATGGGGCAGAAAATAAGTGCCGACTCTATGAGAATAGGCGGACAGCGTTTTTTCCCTCATTCTTTCTTTTGTTTTTTGCGGAAACCATTCCTCGGGGCGGTCGGAAGCTGTGACCGAATCTAGTAAGTGGGTAGAATTCTTCTGGCCGTGATAATTGCTTTATTCTCGTTAATGCATTGTGGTTCCATGCCTGACGTATTGCCAAAGTCGAGAGCCTGTGGTTAATTGTTTCATGTCTACAACACCTGTATCTTCCCCGGCGAGTAGTGTAAAATATTATACGAAGAGTTGAATAGAGTCTTTTAGCTGCGCGAGTTGAACAGAAAGTCGAGCAGGTTGGACAGAAAGTCTAGCTGTTTTCGGAAGAGACTTGCAGTCGTTCAACCAACAAGATGTGCAGGACTTTTGTCGAAGTGCTCGACTTTCTGTCCAACTATTGCAGCTAAAAGACTCTAATATGAGGAAGTCGGAATTGTCAGACTAGTCTCCAAAATTGCTTTTTTTTCATGTCGCCATGCATATGTATATGACGTTGCGCTGCTCCTGCAAGTCATTGCTATCGTATATTCTTTGTCATATTATTAGTAGGGTAACCGGACGCGCGGTATGCCGTTCAGCCCTACGGGATTAAAAGTAAATTGCCATGCGAGAGCTGCTCCGGGGAAGATGGATAGAAGTTTGTTTGTGCCTCTAGGAAAACTCGGAGCGCCGCCGGTATCCCTAGGAGCTATCTCATCTATGCAATTCTACCATAACTTTGGGAGGGGCGGGGATGAAGAATAGAATCCGATTAGTGCCGGAGAACTTGATATCAATAATATACTATCTGCTGTCGCCGGCTCAGAAAGTGCTTATTAGAAGATAATATTGCCCCCTCGTTATCCTGAAATAATGAAGGTCCTTGGGTTATTGAGATTTACTCCTTCAGAGCCCTCTAGCTCTTCTCACAATAGTGGACCCAGACAGGCGAGGAAACACATTATAGTCAGTAGCCATCGCATCTGAAAGACGACATCGGCTGTCGAGGCTTATTTTTCTTAATAGAAGAATCGACTGCATGGTAACTTTGGCTATCTCCTGGCTGTGAACAACGCAGCTCCATCAAAATAGAGTAGTGGTTTCTTTGTTTGACTTAGGCGTTGTCCGCCGCCATGTATGTGTTTTCGAAATTGGTTTACGGTCTGGAGCGGGGCAGAAGGATCGAGTAGAGTACATGTAGCCTGTTGTAAGAAGATACATGGCAACTTCGCCGGTGGTGCCCCGCCTCAAATAGTCCCACCTCTCCAAGTAGAGTTCGCTCTATTCCGTACACTTTCGAGCTCGACAATCGAGCGAGTTGCTCTCTCCACGAAGAGGAAAGTTTCGCCAACGGCGTAGCATATTCCCAGCTACTCTCGACGGACCACACCACGACCCCGGAATCGGGAACTTCTATATTGTCTTCCTTCTATGGATAATAATCCGCTCATGCAGGCTATTGACCCTACACGAAGATCTTGAAAGTTTGACACGCCGTCTATTGAAACAGATCATGAAATATCACTCGCTACAGAAGCAATCACGCAGCAGCGCCCCCACGCATGCCAAACTGGGTACAATCAGTACTAATATCACCCCTTTGGGCTTTTGGTGCGCTTCCCTCCTTTACCTGTATTATCCTATAGGAACGGAGCTTTGTACCTGCTTGCCGGAGGCTTGAATTGTAACTCGTGCTATCTAGAGGACCGTAAAAGGAAGTATATGTATGTGCGCTTTGTTCATTATTAGCAAATGCGTGTGCTACGCCCTTCACGAACGAAGAAAAGAATGCACTGTGCTTTTCACTCCGATTTCCGACTTTCCCACTAAAAACAAAGATATCAAGGCTTGAACCCTTCTAGGCATAGTTATCATGATGCTCTGCCGAGCTCCAAGGGCTGACAAAAACGGAGAGATCAACTTGCCCTAAATTCACTCGGTTCTTTATAATTATAAGCTTACCAAGGATTAATTTTCGGACTGGAGGAAATGTGGTCGGAGAATCGGGACCTAGAGAGCCAATAGACATCACTGTAGATACGTGAAGTGATGCCTAGGTAGCGCGCTGTGGTTGACCTACTGCTAATATAATATGGGGGGATCTTGAGGGTTTAAGTGGTTTTGCATACATTGGTCTACTATTGGTAAATGTTCACAGGTGATCACTCGTCATGTAAGATGAGAAAAATCGCAGCGCACTGCACGTTGACAATTTGGATATTCCTACAAAGATATACTTTTAATAAAGGGAGTTTTAAAAAGCTCTTTATCTGGGTAGACAGATTTTAGGAGCCTCGGTGGCCTTTGGACGTGTCTTTTTATCGATCCGGAGGTTCTTGGCAAATTTATACACGATCTGGGGCGCTTCAATTTCCACCAAAGGAGTAGACTAAGATCAATGATTTACCATTCGAATCCTTAGACCACTGGTGAAATCAATACTCTAAGTCCAGTGACCTAATTTCCTAGCTAACTGCTCTATTCAGAATACCGAACTTTTTTCCCACCATATTCAGTCAACATCCTATGGGAGACAGTGACCCCAATCTTTCTAGCCACATCGACTGCATCATGCCCTACTCCTTCACACATATCACACCCGAC